TATGAAAAACAAACAATTTATTAAACATCAACAATTACATCACATCAAGAATGTAGTACTGAATTCATACTTTGTGCAAAAGAAATGATAAAAACAGCAAAAAATGCCAGAATCCACAATATGTTACTTATCATCTAAAGCCCTATCTCTTACATAATGCAATTATTCAGTTTCATTCATAATATCTTTATCTGTTCCCTAATACTAACATGTGTATGGCACTTCTAGGACTTCATATATCTGGAGATATATAATCACCACAGAAAGTGGTCTTGGTAGTGAAACAAGCTTTTAATAACCTGTAGAAAACTTAAAACCAGCCAAGGAGCCCAGTAGCAAAACGGACAGTGCAGTAAAGCATGGCTATCAGACCGAGGTAGCCAAAGGCGCCACCCATGCGTTTCTTGGGATCTGGAATAAAGAATTACATTATTTCCTTATCACAAGAATGAAATGTACGGATGGTTTACACAATTTCTACAACACAGAATTAAAACACAATACTGAATTAAAACACAATACTATATGGGCAAAACAAAGATTTACTCTAGAACACCTAAATAAAGTAACAGGGAGACAGATGTTTTCCAGTGACCAAATTATTTTAAATAAACACACCCACATTTTCAAGCACCAGTTGTACTACTGTCAACAAGAGTGAAGTGTGAAAAAGATATGACTCTAATGAGAAAGAATAATTCTGCTAAGTAATATTAAGAACTACTCTTTGATATTAGGCCTACCTCTTGCCATTTAATCTACAACTATTTGCCCCATTTATTAGTTTTCAGCTAGTTTAAAATAACATGAGAACTTTTTGAGTTTGTGAGTCATTCAAACCAAACTTTATACATAAGTATTACTACTAACAATACTAAAACCACAAAAATTAATGGTAGCAGTACCTAGTTGAAAAGGTATGAATGAGAATGAAAATCTTCACATTACAAGAAATGTATTTGACCAATTTCAAATATATCTTCATCAGAAATATATTTCATCATCATCATCTTGGGGGCTGACGCCGACGGGGGCGCATAGCTGCATCCACCCTTCGCTTCCACCTACGAGGATCCCTCATGGCTAGGTGCCAGGCAGGGACTCGGCCCATCTCTAGTTCTTCATGGCAGGTTTGGTCGATCTGCCCAAGCCATGACTTCCTCGGTCGTCCCAAAGGCCTCCTCCACCCAGGGTTGTCTCGAATAGAGACGACCTGATGGGCAAGATCATCCTGAGGAAAGCGAGCCAGGTGGCCATATAGCCTGAGTTGGCGATCACGGATTGTGCAGATAACAGGGCTTGTGCCAGTCTCACGGTGCAACCGTTGGTTGGACACATGGTCCCGCCAACAGTACCCCATGATCTGGCGCAAGGACCTATTGCAAAAGGCTTCAAGACGAGCCTCCAAGGCACAGGACAATGTCCAGGTTTCGCTACCGTATAGCAAAACTGGCATTATCAGGGCCTTGAAAACCCGAAGCTTGGTCCTTCTGCACAGGTACCGACATCTCCAAATACTCTTGTTGAGAGAGTTCATGACCCCTGCTGCCAGGCCAATCCGTCTGCTGACTTCATGGTCTGACAGCCCAGAGTTACGAACTACACTACCAAGGTATGTAAAGCTCTCTGTGACTTCAATGTCCTCGCCGCAAGCACGTACCGACTGAACAGGTTCTCCTATCAAGTCCCCAAATTCCTGGACCTTGGTCTTGGTCCAGGAGACCTCTAGACCCAGGGGCTTCACTTCATTGCTAAATGCATCCAGAGCCGCCACTAGGGTTTCCAAAGACTCAGATAGAATGGCAACGTCATCAGCAAAGTCAAGGTCTGTAACCTTGATATTGCCTAGCGTTGCCCCACAATGATTTTGAACAGTAGCTCTGCCCAGTATCCAGTCCATGCAAGTGTTGAAAAGAGTTGGTGCAAGGACACAGCCTTGCCTCACTCCTGAACTAACAGGAAAGAAGCTCGACAGGCCCCCACCACACTTTACAGCACTTTCAGTACCAGTATACAGGCTTGTTATTAGTCCAATAATCCTTGTTGGTATTCCTCTCAGCCTCAGGATCTCCCAAAGTGACTCCCGATGCACCGTATCGAACGCCTTCTTGAGGTCGATGTAGGCTGTGAGCAGCCCACGCCCGAACTCACGACGGCGCTCTACAATGACTCGAAGCGCGAGGATACGGTCTATTGTGGACTTACCAGGAGTGAATCCGGATTGCTCCAGTCTCTGGTGCCTCAGTAGATGGTCTCTGATACGTCTCAGAAGGATGTGGGCGAGAACCTTGCCTGGTACACTGAGCAGTGTGATGCCTCGGTGATTGCTGCAGTCCCAACGGTCCCCCTTCCCCTTCCAGAGAGGGATGACCACACCCCTCAACAGGTCAGGAGGAACGGAACCGGACTGCCAGATGGCAGCCAGGACAGCATGTAACCCCCGTGCCATAGGTTCACCACCAACCTTTAACAGTTCAGCTGGTATGCCGCAGATACCAGCTGCATTACCACTCTTCAGCTTGGAAATCGCCCCTCTAACTTCAGTTAGGGAGGGAGGGTCCTCACTGATAGGTGGATCCGGCAGCGGGATCTCGACACTACCCACATCCAAGTTAACTGTTGGTGGGTCAACCTGGTACAGGTGCTCAAAATACTCAGCCCAACGTCCCCGCACCGCAACAGGATCTGAAACGATCTGACCACTTACTGAGCGAACTGCTGTCACCTGTGAAGAGGGCTTGGAGTTCAGCTTTCTCAGGGCTTGGTATGCAGGACGAAGGTCATTTACTAAGAAATGGCCTTCTACCTCCTCTGCAAGACTCCTAATAAACTGTTCCTTGTCTCTTCTTAACAGGGACCGAGTTCTGCGCACATGAGAACGGTGCAATTCCCGATCCCCTGTCAGACGAGCCGCACGACATGCATCTGTGGCTTCCAGTGTCTCCCGCGAGATGGAATTCTGTACTGCTCTCGGGCGTACACCAATCGTATCTTGAGCTGCATCAAGCGTTTCACGCTGAAAGGTATCCCACAGAAGAACAGGGTCTGTCAGACTGCCAAGCACTGCGAAACGATCAGAGATTGCCTCAGCAAACCCGCAGGCACACTCCCCCTCCCTCAGCCTGTCCAAATGAAACACCCTAGGGTGATCATTTGACCGCTGGGGGGTTTTGAAGTGGACCCGGAGGGTAGCCACAACCAATCTATGGTCAGTACCACAGAACTCAGCACTCCTGTACACCCTGCAATTCTGAAGGATCCTCCAACGAGTGCTAACAAGTATGTGGTCGATCTCCTTGGCTGCGTTACCCGCATCACTGTACCATGTCCAGCGATGTGGGTCTGGGCGCTGGTACCAGGAGCCAGAAATCCTCAATTTCTGGTACCTAGCAAAGTCCTGGAAAAGGAGGCTATTCTCGCTACCGGCATCAGCTCCTGAACCATGGGGACCGACAGACATCTCATAGCCAGCTCGATCACAGCCAGATACCGCATTGAAGTCGCCCAGAACAATGCGAATATCTCGTCGGGGACATCTGTCTGCCACAGATGTAAGTTTGGCGTAGAACATCTCTTTCACGTCAAGTTTATAAACATCGGTAGGAGCGTACACAGCAATAAGAGACATGAAGCCAAAAGAAAGCTTCAATTTCAATACCATTATACGCTCATCAACAGGAGTAACCTCTACTACCGAGGGCTGGAGTCTGCTGGAGACGGCAATGGCTACTCCCTGGAGATGGTGGCCATCGCTGCGGCCCGACCAGTAATAGGTGTAGCCACCTACACAGGTCATGCCGCTGCCAGGCCTCCTCACCTCCGAGAGAGCAGCCACCTCAACTCTCAGCCTCCCCAGTTCCCTCGACAGTAGAGGCAACCGATCATCCTGACGCAAAGAACGGACGTTCCAAGCCCCCACCCTAACTTCCCGCCTGAGGTTCAGCCTCTGGCAGTCGCTCCGGGTGGATGCCACCTCTGCCACCCCCACCGACGCTGCCCCATATAAAAGGGGGTGGCGGGCTGCGTGCCCCATCATCCACCTGTGGGGTTCCCGAGGGCTTTCCCCCACAAGCTTCACTCTGGGCTGGCGGCCACCAGAGCGCAGGCGAGACGGGTAGTCCCCGTTCCCAGCCTGCGCTCCAGCAGGCTGGGAAATATATTTGAAACTGGTTAAATACATCTCTTGGACTGTTAAGATATTAATTCTCATTCATACCTTTTCTACATTTGTTGCCATGATTATGGTTCAACTGTATCTAGTCCTACATACCTATAATTTGAAATGTATAAATATACTACCTTAATAAAATAAAAGGATAAAATTCAAGTGGCTGACGAGTACTTTTATGCAACCTATCCAAATTTCAATTCAACTGGCTGGAACCTTAGTATTCTGTGTGTGCCTGCCTGTCTTCGTGAACAACCCTGTATCCAAAAGCAGTCTCTTAGTGTGTCTCGTTAATAACTATCACATCCTAAATTCACATGTTTTTTATGACTGAGAGTAGCTAAATGAATATTTTACATCTTTACATATCATGAGAAGGCTGCTCTGAGCTGTCTCATTTTTTTCTGCACTGTATAATCAAGATGAAAAAAATCCCATCCAGAGGACTTGGCAAACATTAACATCTCTAAATCACTGTTAATCTAGATGCTGACTAGACTAGTCCCACTCCTCCTATGACAATTTATAGTTCATTCTCTGAAATACCAGCCTAAGAGATTTATAACTTGATAATTCTACTGATTTGATATGGATGACAGCTTGTAGCAAAGTATGTAAAAAGTAATAATAATAATAAAAATTATAATAATAATAATAATAATAATAATGATGATAATAATAATAATAATAATAATAATAATAATAATAATAATAATTACAACAATATTAAGAAAATGTGATCTTGAATAAAAGTTAATTGTTCAGCCATATCTGTAAGTTTATAATTACATCCTTTCTAATATTGCTGCTTTTATCATTACTATTAATTCTAATAATAATATCAATAACTTAATTCAGGGAACCATTTTGGTAATGACCCCCCCCACACACAAAAAAAAGGCAAAAAAAAAAAAAAAAAAAAAAAAAAAAAAAATAATAATAGCCATGATAATAATGATGATAAAGAACCTAAAACCATAATAATAATAATATTAATGATAATATTGACAAAAATATTACATATGCAAGAGTCCCCCCAAAATAAAGATTATAATAGTTTACCTCCAGTGTAATATCCCAAGGCATAAACAATACGTGCTACACACCATATAGCACCACCAACGGCACACACAATGGGGTTATATAAACCTCCGAAAAAGAGAAGTACAAGAAATTGCGGGTAGTTCTCAAGTCTGAAATTAAAAGTCAGAGCATGAATTTATATTATCAATATAAATACAATTATTGCACCCAATATTGAACCATAATGCAAAGAAAGATTTAGTTTCCTGAAGAGAAATTAAGTTTCTGTTAACACATAGAGGAAATGCATAAACTATGTAGTATAGATTGGGTAGGACACAGAGCTTTATCTAACAAAGACAATAAGAAAGAGATATAACAGGTGATAAAGATAAGATATGCTATAGAACCAAGTGGTGAAGAAGAAAAAAAGTTTAAGATAGAGATGATTTTGTTGTTCCAAAGCCTCAGTAGTTGTAACTTACGTGTTCTGGTGGGCACGCTGGTAACAGTTAAAGATATCATTATCCTTGCTGTACATTGTAGGGTAAGAAACCTTGTACTTCTTGCGGGCACCGCCAACCTGATAAATGTAAAAACATAAATCATTACAAAGAAAAACAAAAGTAAATAAGACACAATGAGAATTGAGAATAAGCGTGACATTTCGAACTCTTCTCGAGTTCCTCATCAGACAAAAAAATGAAATGGATGTCATTTTTGTGTTCACGTGATTGTGTTTGTGCTTGTGTTCAAAAGTAAATAAAATAAAATAAACTTGTGGTCAGGTCAGGTACAGATTCTAATGCATTCTGTGATGTGTAAAAACTCATTATTGTCAACGATAATGATACAATAATCAGGTAATATATTTACCTTCACACCTTTCCATATTAATACAAATATGGAGAATACAGCTACAAGAACACAGTAGCCATACGCTGCAGGTACTTGTACAGTAACCATCTTTAATTCTGCAAAGAAAAAGATTATTAGCATTTGATATGCCTAATGTAGTTATCATACTGGTATTAGTGAAGTTTGCTGTAAATGGATATGTTGTGGACTTCTAAAAGATTACAATTGTAACATTTATAAAAAAAATAAAATGATGATATAGTTTTTAAATGTATAAACAAAAGAAGTAAAAAAAAAAGTAAATTCCTGTGGCTCAATAAAGTTTATTATGAGATACATTGGTTAAAGTTAGAAGGCACCCTTAGCAACTTTAAAAATACTGTCTTTTTACTTAATCACACTCGTGGTGTTCTTTACAAATCCACCAATGTCTATGATGGAGGACCTAGCCCCTTAAATCTAACCCAATAACATTGTAATGTCTATTGTAATCCCATCTGACATGCTCAGACAAAAGCTAATTGATATACACCCCATATATATTTATAAAATAACATTTGGACTGATTCTTTATTTGATAGTAAACGGCCAAAATGCATGAAGTGGAAGTTTGATGGAGGTTGTGACTATCACCCCTACAGTAGTAGCAGATGTGGTAGTGCCATCCAAAGCTTTACCAAAGATAATAACAAAAGTAATAATGATCTTAATCATTAATATTTGAACTGACATTAAATACATACTGCTTATTGTGAACTCTGAGTCAAGAATTCCTTTCGTAAGTTTTTAGTTTCACACAGCCATCTAACCTTGCAATTATTTTTTCTTGTTTCAGTTATCAACAGCATTTTATGCATGATCAATTGTTTTCAATTGCAAATGATATAAGTGAAAGTAATGGTAATGGATTCCTGGGAAACCACAAACATTGCTGTATGAACCATGAACATTCCAATCCTGGAAGTTTTGCCCCAAGACCACACCTGATCACTATATTTCCCTATTAGTGGCTCTGCCCCTGGACCCCACCTGATCACCATGGACTTCTTTAGGACAGTATCATTAGTTTGGGTAATTCTTTACAGTATGGATGCACTCGCCAGAGATAAAGTCCACGTCAAAAAATCTATCAATCAATCTACATTATCATGACTGGGTGTGCCCAATTGCCTGAGAGGAGGGTTGATGGTGGGCTCTGCCCCTCTACACCCTCCAGGAAACATTGTTTTCACCTCGGTATTCATGGCAACAAAGAACTGAAACTTAGGAGCAGCAAATGAACTTAGGCTGTCGTTTCCGCAATCTTTTTCCTTTATTTGTTTGCATCTATTGATATCGAGTGGCGATTTAAAAAATATTGAGATACCTCATAACTTTGTTATTATTAAGTTATTATCAATTTGCAAGGAAAATGGTATAGAAGAAAACTATCATAGAATGATGTGTTTTAC